ATTAGACTGCTCATGGCTGTTACTCACAACCGTTCGCAAAAGATGGCGCCACTATTCTTGTTTAAAATGTATCTGAACACTAAGCGGAGTAATTTCGGTTAAATGGGAATTTGATTCCAATAACCGATAAGCGGGCTCGCTTCTTAAAAAGTAAAATTTTTTCATTCGTTCATTTTCGATAATAATGCTATTTATCAGTACATTTAACACAAAATGAATTTTAAAATTGCCTTTTTTTTACAATTTGTTGTTAATTATTGAAGGGACTGAGAGAAGTGACAGACCTACCAGAATGCATATTTAGTTTCAGGAGTATTTAAGCTGAAGATTTTGGACTGTAAGTAGTAGCGTGTTTCTGCCTTACGAGGCCAAGTTAGGTTTCGCTACCTCCAAAAAGATTATAATCTTCAGCTTCGCATTATAATTGCCGATATTTAAATTATAACGCTGGTGAGAAGTAATCGGCCAGCTTCGCGTTAAATCAATTATGTAGCCTTAGGCTATTAGACTTAATTTAAATAGTTAAATTGACTGTTAGTTTAAGTTACATCACTTCAAGTGGTTGGTTGATTATTGTCAAGCACAAGACGTCCATTTATATTCCAGTTCTGATTTAATAAAAAGGTGTGTTAATCTTTTTTAAAGGCTCTACAGTTCTTCTCAGATTTAGTAATAATTCACTGTACGTCAGAACGAAGTTTAGATTTAGTTTATACTACCATTACTGTTGTTGATAAAACTCGCAACAACCAAACTCTACAAGTTGTTGCGACTTTTATCAGCAATGGCAATAATCCGTATTGTATTTTCTTTCATTATCTGCAAACAGATTCATTTTTAATGCACAAATCCATTTTGGTTTAACCATTTGTCGAAACAGCAAATGTAGCTGGGCGAACAACATGAAATAAATTTTATTTTGGCAATAAAAATGTTTAATATAAAAATATTTAAAATACATTGAAAAGGCTTTGAGGACAACACTTATTATAAACAAGGTTTTTGAGAGATAAAAGAGGTTTTAAAAGCAAGAGCCAGGCTCTGATAGACCACCCACTTCAACTAATGAGCATCATGACAGTTATTTTGTGGTTAGTCGCTACCGTTTAATTATTAGGGATACTGTTGAATAAGTTCCTATATCATTTGGATTCTTATCAAACAGTTTTGAAAGATGGGCTTGCAGTGGGTCGATTCTTCGATTGTTCCAAAAACGCTGCGTTTGTTCCAGTAAAAAAAAAAAAAAAAAAAAAAAAAAAAATCACATTTATGTAGTATGTTATGATGGTTTTCGAGATAAATTCTTAAGATACGAAATATGAATTTACGCTTTAGATATAAGATTAGGATTAGGATTATTCAATTATGGCAAAGCACACTGGGGCTCTCTGCCTAATCACTTTAGATATAAGAAGAGTTTAACAAGCGAATGGCACACGGAAAGCTAAGCTAGAATGAAAAGACCATGTCAAAAATGACCGAAATCAAAATAATGTTGAGTGTTTCCATCGAATGTCGTAGCACTATTAATTTATATTTTGTGACCTTGTTGTCGAACACTTTTTGAGTGTTTTATGACATTTGGGTTACGTATTTTGTAAAAAAACGACTTGAACTGAGAGAAGAAATTAATGGATTTTGCATGTTTAAAATACACCAGCGAGTATTATTCTTGTTGGTCTTAAATTTTTGTCCCAATATGTTATTAATACAGCTCTGTAAACTTTGTATTTCCTTGATATGGCACTGTGTGACTTTTTCTTGTTCCCAAGATTAAAGTTTCGCTTCTTGGTCACTATATGGAGTCGTTCAAGTCTATTGAGGCAAGAAAAGAAAATTTGCTAGGGTCTGTAAAGGAAATTCACGTAAACGACATTAAAACAAGCTTCGATAATTATAAGAAAGTTTAACAGTCGAAGCAAATACATTTAATGCAGATATAATAATTACTGATAAATAAACCAAAATCTTGTGTTTTATGAAATTATTCCTGACGTTTTTTGATCCCAATATTGTTATACAATAAATACCACTAGCTACTGTATTTCCTTCTACTACTTTACGTTAAGCGTGAGGCTTTCATTAAAATACGAGAAAGCTGGATTCGGCACTCATCTCTCACGTTTGAATTTGTAAGTTTTCCTCAAAAAATAAATACGTTTAAGGTGACAACTTTTCACATTGAAACATGATTAGGGCAAAAGCTTTTATCGCGATTCTGAGGCAAAACTTGTTATTGTGGAAAACTCTCTTTTTCGAATTTACTAGCCCAGGATACAGTTGAACACGTCTTGATCGCCAGATCTTTCCCAATTGATATACTGCTTTCCAGAAAAGGAAAAAAATCTGTTCTCCTTAATCCTCATTCTTAAAATCTGTAAAAAATATAAATGTGCTGAGATAACTTGAAAAACACCATATTTCTAATTTTATCAGCACTGAAATTATACTAATATACTTATCTATCTTAACGATTTTGCAAGAAAAACCTGCGATTTGACGTCATCTCTGCCGTGAACATTGTGACGTTCTGTGTTACATAATAAATATATCTGATGTCATGACGTTATGTCTAACTTTGGTACGTTTGACGTCATGCCTGAATGTGATATTTCTCGCTTTTAAAAATAGAAAGATCTCATTCACAGACATCTCATTTCTATCATTATTCTATCATTATTCATTATTAATATAGCCAAACAATGGTTTCTCACAATGTGATAAGTAAATAAATTTTAGTTTAAATGGAAAAGTTTTAATGTATTATGCACAATGTTAAATAAATTATATATACATTGATGACGCATGAGGTATACACTAAGGTACCCAATATAGTAATACAGTATTTAAGAATATATTTTACACACATAAATTTTTGCAAATAAAATTTTCTAAATATTTTGCAGCTTTGCAGTGCGCTTTCATATGTCTTTAATTCAAAGTGTTCCTGTGCTCTTCTTGTTCATATAAACGTAACATAAAGTCGAAAACATCTTTAGAATGCATATCTTCAATTTCATTTTCTTCTTCTGATTTTGGCTCATAGTGCTTAGGATCAAAAAATTGCCATAACGGTTCTTCCAATAAATCAAACTCATATTCTTGACAAGTAGGCCGAAACCATCTGGAAAACGTTAGGCATTAAAATCATTATCATGATATTTTGAAACACAAAGTAAAAAATCCACTTTGAAAAGTACTGCTAAAATAAAAACAAATCATTAAAATATTTTTTACATTAAAGCATAACTATGAAACATTTTGTATTACCTGAGTTTCATAAAATGACAGTCTTTTCTGAAAAAATTATTCTTTCATTTTATAAAGCATGTGTACATATATATATATATATAATATTTAGAGATTAGGTATACTTAATGACACTTTCATGTTATTGTTGTGCTAATTATTTCTCATGTCACTTTATTTACCTTATTACCTTTTGTGCTAATTATTTCTGACCTCACTGAACGTGCTTGAATCACAATAATACTAACAGAATTTATAGAAACACCGTATTTTACGTTAATTCCTGGATTTGACAGGCACATGAATAACTTCAAAAACAAACTAACTTGTAACATGAAATATAACAAACGATTTTGTTGGAAACATGGAAGAAATTTGATCATGCAAATTATTAAATTTCCCAGCATCAAAGCGATCTCTAAAACTGGACGAAACAGTAGTAAAATATAGGCGATAAACTACATTGTTTAGAATTTTAATTCTGTCTTACACCATAGCTAGACTGCGCAGAAACGAAGAAGTGAATTTATATGCACCTCTTTAAAACGGACGACCTTTGAAAGTTACCATTATTTCTGTGAACATAGATAAGCATTGGCTTTGAACACGACCTTGCTAACATGACTTCTTTCTTGGAAGATCGAAATTACTGAAAGATCAAAATTACTGGAGCTATGGGTTTTTCATTTAGAGAGTCACAGTATTTCATTTATTTCCAGTATATTTATAAATTTATATTACTTACACAATGCTACAAATTCTGAAAGACGTTAACAAGTGTTATTAATTTTTCAAGAAATTTAAGTATTCAATTTTGTTACTCACCCTCTATATTTCAAGCATCTGATGATCGGATGGTCAAGTCTAAAGCACTCCATTTGCACAAAATTGAAGAAGATTCGTCCGATGCGATTAGAAGCCTTAGTATTTGCTTCTTTTAGACACTGATGAAACTTGTCGTCACAGTCACAGTGTGATCTAGAAGTGAACTAAAACATTAATATTGGACTTTTTTTTTATCAAAGCAGTTTATTCCTTAAACTATCGGAACTCATAAATTTTGTCTGACTTGTTGTCAATTAACAGCTCCCATCCCCTTTCATTCCATTCAATGAGCATTTCTCGCTCAATATGCAGCCATGTCGTGTTCTTTTGCCTCTGCTCAGGACTGTTTACGGGACGATTTTAGTTTTTTAGACTATGAAAGTGCAGGTATTTAAACTGCAGAAATTAAATTCGTGAATTATTTTAATCATAATGCAATGAACGTTTAGAGGTTACCACAATTTTTGTTACACAGACCGTAAATGCTATATCGAGACTTAAAGTGCTGCGCAAAGGCATCGCCTTTTACATATGCCGCTAAGTGCCAGTAAACATAACTCCGAAGTATAAATATACGCACATAAGTAATGTGATTATATTAAACGTAATCCCATTTACACATTGTCTCCACAAATGTCTTTAATTCGGCCTTTATTTTCGCAATCGTTGGTTTTACGCATATACTTCTAGTTACAAAAAAGGTTTTAAATGAGATATATATATATTCGTGTTTTAGCATCTTTAAATTTAAAATCTAACTTATATTACATTCCTGAAGTTCCTATATTTGTATTTCAGAAAATTGTACACTCATTATAAATCCCATCTGACCAAAAATTGACCGAGATATTTAATTTTAAAATAACAGAAAACCATAATCACAGGCCGTACACAAATTCAAAAGTGAAATTTTTTACGCAAATAAAATAAAACATCAATTTGTAAAAAAGTTTGTGATTTTAATAAGTCTAGTGGACCCACCAGCGGCCTAGCGGTAAATTCGGTGTAGTTCGGTCCGAGGGTCGAATACGGCGAACGCGCTGGCTGTAAGGGCGTTTTGGTGGTTTTCCCCATGTGTAACGTGCATACGAGGCAGTTCCCCTTAGAACGTCCTCCACGAAGGCATCCCTCCTTCCCTGTAGTGCCTAAGGGTGAATAATAATAATAAACCTAATGAAGGGCATTTCTATGTATTTTATCGTAAAAAGTACCGATCAATGTTATTTTTTTCAAAAGGGCTTCAACACTGTCATATATCTAACTCGGAATATTGTTTTCAAAAATTACAAATTAAAAATATTTTTAGTTTAATGATTTTTTGCTACGATTTTTAGATTACGATTCTAAATTAATAAACGTGCAGGAGCATATTAATAAAATATTATTAACGCTGGAAAAATTTAAATTTCTAGTACGAAAATTCTTCCAGCATAATATGCATAACAAAATTATAAATTATAGAATACTACAAAATATCAAATCTAAAAAAAATCGTTAACTGGCATTTAAAGAAAAAAATTAACCAGGAAGTAGTGTGTATTATGTATTTATTAACCGACTTGTGAAGGCAAGTTGCAAATGACATCCCAAATCGCAAATTTTGAAATTAACATCTCCTTCACTTTTTGTTTTTTATAATGAGTAGAAAATGTGTCTAACTATATGTATAGTGAACGTATAAAAAAACTAGAAATCGTGACAAAAAGGCTACGAAACCTCATAAACACTTTAAAAAAAATTCATCCTTGTGAATTAATGTTTTCCAAACAGTAAAGAATAAAAGAGAAATTTGTAAAGCAAAGTAGAATTAATTCGAATTTTATTTTCAAAATGACTCTGTACGCCAGTGAATAAACGTTTGGGCAACTTTCAGATATTGTTCTAGCTTAATTCCTTTAAATGCCAATTATTTTAAGGTTTCTTACACAGAAGTTTGCAAAGTGAGAAAAAGTTCTTCTAAATTTCATACCAAAAAAAAAAAAAAAAAAATCTGATAAATGTTTTTAACAGCCTTACAGATATATGATGCGCTTTTTTATAAACTTATTCTCAATAAAAGAACTTTCTTACTTTGTAAAAGGTGAGTTATTTTGCAGACCATATTTGGACTCACGACCAGGAATAGAATCTTCACAGTGATCATGATCTCTACAACATAAATCGGCTTCGATTTCAGGACCTAAATCTTCGTAACTGTCTGCAATATCACCTGACCCACACCATTTCGTACCTAAAAGTAAATTTTAAAAACATATAGGAAATAGAATTTCATAATTTTAACTGAGATTATAAAAAAAAATGATTAACATGGTTCCAGAGCAGAAAGATAAAATTTAGTAATTCATATTAACAATTTCTGTCCGCTAAAATTTTGAAAAATTAGGCGAAAGAAAATTAATTTACAAAAGTTAATTAGTAAATCATTTAATATTACTTTATATATAGTGACTCAACATAGTTGATGAAAAATATTTTTTCCAATCGAAGAGTTGAATCCGTTATGTTCTTAAAATCTTTTTTAAAATTTATATCGGTTTAAAACATTTTCTTATTTATAACATGATTTCCTATTAAGCAACGAATATCTGAATCTGTACTCCTGCGCAATTGAAAGAGAGAGAAAGTAAAAATTATATGGCTAAAGCATTTATTCAAGGAAAACAAATTTTATGATATTTCTAGATTTTCCCGAAGAAGAATTGCTAATAACTCTTCAGAATAAAAGTTCTCAATGCATTATTAAGTAACTCCTGCTTTTTTGCAATGTGTCCCCATCACACTGACATTATTAGCCGGCTAAAATTATCAGCAGTGGTTAGTCAAACATTAAGTAACAAAAACTTATGATGCTTCATATAAACGTTAAGTCTAGTCAGTGGCATCTATTGATTTTCTAAAACTTGATTTCATCAAATATGTAAAATTATCTAAATTTATTACAGAATTTGGTGTTATTTAGCAGCCTAAATTCAGTCCAAACTCCGTGCAGACGCACAACGAATTATCACTATTTCTAAAAAGAACTTAAGAAGAGTCTTAAGAAGGTTTAAAAAGCTTTTTCATCAAATCCCAAAACTCAAATATAAATGGACGTCTCGTGCTTGACAATAATCAGCCAACCAATTGTGGTGATGTAAAAGTAACATTTAATTTCCAGGTTTAAACTTTGTCTAGCAACCAAAGGCTACGCAACTGATTTCAGTCGAACCTGGCTCAAAAACTTAAACTTTTCACCAACATAACAATTTAAATGTCGGCAGCTTTAATGCAAAGCCAGAAAATTATAATCTCGTCAGAGCTAGCGAAAGATAGTGACTCGAGAGACAGAACATGTTCTGTCTTTCAATCCGAAAAATGTTAGCCTAGATATTCTTAACCTGATTTGCATTCTGGTAAAGAAGCGAAAAGGAGAAGTGACAGTAAAGATCTAGACCATAATAACAGGCTATAGGAGTAACATTACTCAACCTTATATTAAATATATCTAATTCTTTAAATTTGCATATATATGATCATTAAAAATTTTAAATTAAATTGCTTTTAAAAATCAAATTTCTTGAAAATTTTATGTGCTACTTATTTATAACAGTCGGGAGAAAAAGCTTAATCACTGAGTGCAGCATATTAAAGGAACTGGTTAAAGAAACTTATTTTTGCTGATAATTTAATAAATTTTTAAACGTAATCGTCCACTGTTATATAGCGCATTTTTACGACGTTTTTAATGTAATATATTTCATTAAAGAACTAGTCCTTATAAAACAAAGTGTAATGGCTTATCATAATAATACATTAGTTACTCTTACCAAAGTGCCCAAAACATATTTAATTAAATTCGTGGTCAAGAAATCTTTTAAAATAACTTTCACAAGATTAGTGCTTTCTGTTAAGAGTGTTATTAAATATATTTGCAATTAAATGTAAAATTCAACTAACGTTTACACTTAGAAGAAAACAGAAAAACCTCTGATGTGTAATATATTTATAGGGAAAAAGGTTCAAAGCGAACGATTATAATCCAATAGAAACAGCTGTCAATTTATCACCCTTATTTTAAATGAGTTTCTGTATATAAGTGCCTTTTGCTTCTCTTACCATCCTACCAACTGCACATGAACTTTTGGATTGACAGATTTTTGTCTCTACACCCCACAAATATGATATTAAATTGCACCGTCCATGCCCAAAGCTTGACCCCATGCCTTCTGCCATCAGCAGACTCTCTAAAGATCGGAAAGTAATTTAAAAGTAGTATAGGCTAACAGTCATTGACTCAAAAGTATTCATTTGTATTGGTATCCCAAGATAAGCCGAATACAATGCAAAAGAAGTCTTCCTGGCCCCGGTTTTGCGTATCTTGGAGCATCAAGTTTAATATTGCCTTACATTGCATGTATACTTCACTTGCTTTGGGTTCAGTCTATCTTGGGCTACCCTGTAGTAATTGTCGCTTTCAAATCTTTAAATCAATGAGCAAGAGTTTGAGCAAGTCTTACGCTAAATATATTAATATACTCTTGAGATACTCATGAGTGAATAATTTGTAGCTGACAGTTTTGAGTATTATTATAACCAAAGAAATACAAAAGTGTTAATTTACATAAACATTTGATGTATTTTAAAAGTTCTATGAAACAAATAACATAATTTGAATCACTTCTCCAAGAAGCGCAAATATGAAGATATTATAATGCAATATATTAATAATTTTAAAATACAAAACATCAAAAAGAAGCATGGCTTCTTTTTGATGGCACTCAGCCTTTGACAGAGGAATACTTAAAATGTTTTTTAGAAAATAAAAACGCAAACCTGGGTAAATGAGGTAACTGCTGAATACTCCTAATTTTTGCCAAGCCTCTGCCCCACCTTGGCCAGGTAGCGTTCCATTCCATTTAGCATATGTGCAGTATTCCGTCAGTTGATTTATGGTATTGGAATCAACACTGATTGCATCTGATGAAGGAATTATTTCCAAGACATTTTTTATTAACATTCTAAATGAAAAAGACAAATTTTAATGGTAGTATATTATTACTGACAGTATGAAAAATTATCCAAAAACATAGTATTATAATCATCTGCACTATCTTAAAATGATTAAACGAAAATTCTGTTTTATATAAACAAAATTAAAGGCAATTCCCTGATTGATTTGTTTATGACTAAAATGCTTGAAATAAAATATGTTTTCAGACTAATTAAGCAAGTTTTACATTTTGACAGTTTAAAAACACTTTTCTGATGCGAGCAACCCAAAATAAGCTTCCACATTTCTCGAAAATGAATTCAGAGGCATTTAAAACAAATTATGTTTCGTTAAAAAATCATTCATATTTAGATATCCAGAGCATTATATATTTGAATGTTATTGGTTTGGAAAATTTGGAAGTTTGGAAATGCATAAAACTTATTAATTTGCAAAACTGTTATTGTTCTGACAGCCAATCAGGGGCTGCATGGATACGACCACTGAACTCCTGCAGTTTATTCCCTATTCGAATGTCAGCGAACGAGATGGCTGAATTTGAGTTCTGTGGTTTTTCCCCACCCACGATCTTGGTCTCTCTGGAAGTTCCTTCATGAAACCATTTTTTTCCTTTAAGTACATTGACTTCGTTCGCTTTGCCGTAATCAATTATTAGCTAATTTATATTTCTTGAAAGTGTACGAAAACCTCATCATGTTCCTATATGCACCGTGGTTTTGAAGGCAAATACGTATGCAAACCAAGGCAATAGATGCAATTTCATGAGCGTTTTGAAGTCTAAATAAAATTACAGAGAACAGAGGGACTGGAAAAATTTTTGTTAGACCAACTAAAATTTGTATTTTTGATCGACACAGCTGATCCACTCTAAGGATATTATCTTCCCAATATCAATGAAATATCAATTCCTATATTAATGAAAGACCCCAACCCGGATGCTGAAACGAGTTGTCGAACCGTGATGAAAGGATAATTCAAGATAATTACAACATTTTTCAAATGTCCCTGAGTTGCCTGCACCTTCATTTCAGGGCAAAGTAGACTCCGTTGGAGAAGGAAATATCTAGTCAGTGGCTTCTTTTTTGATTTACAACGAACGAGCAAAATTGCTATTGGACAAGCAAGACCAAAGTCCGTATCTAAATGCTTGTAAAGGTTCAAACATTGCACGTGTAGTAAATCTGTTATTCGTCTGCAGTTGCCATTTAATTCCATGTAGACTAAGAACTCTACGAAAATGGTTACATCATTAAAGAATCATCCACCGTTGCAAAATATTTTGTTTAAACTGTCCACACTTAGGTGTATATGTGCAGACGTTTCTTTTGAATAAGAAAGATGCGTATGCATAAGATATCATTTCCACTGAATTCAAAATGCTTCTCTTTTTTGTTATGAATCCCATTTCTCCTGCAAGAGCTTTCAACTCATTTCTGGTAACATTTCTAGATATACTAGTATCCGTTTTTGTTAATATATTTCAACACATGTTATAATTTATATAGAAACTCTGTTAGCCTTAAAAGAGTGAACTATTTGGATTTTGAATTCTAAGTTACAATTTTCGAAACAAAATCTCACCTCATATACGCGCTGTGATTATCTCTGCATTAACTTCTAAAAGTATATACGAAACGCTTACTTTTATTGAACAATTTTTTTGCTACTAGTTTTTTAATTCATCATGAATTTACATTTTGATCTTGCCAAAATAGTTACATTAACTAAGATTCTAAAATATGCGAAAGCTGACTACGACTTATTACTATTTAAGTTATTTGTTACCTGTTCCCCATTACTTAAAGTAGTAGTAGTTACCTAAGTCAAGCCTTTCTGTTCCTTCAGTACGTAATTTTCGTAGCAGTTATCGAGTTTGTTTTATTTAAAGAATGAAATCACTTGGCAAATAGAGGTGATTATATTGGACGATAGAGAAAAAATTGAAGTAAACTATAAGATTTCGACTAGTAAGATATTGGTTTTTATTTGCACAGTTTCCATCATTTGTTTTAGTATATTTTTTAGAGATAAAAAAATCCAAACCTATTGAGATGAATAGAATAATCTTAGCAGCAAAATATTTTTATTTTCAGCGAACATAAATACATTCTATAAATGAGCGATTTCCTGTCCATATGATTATTGAAGCCGAATAAGATAACTCTCTTTCAATTTCGTATCAATTCCTTTGTAAAAATTATCCACAGCTGTTAATCTGTTTCTATTTATTCCTGCAGTAATCAGCTCTACATAATTAGCTACCTTATGCACTTATTTCAACTAAACTTAGACAGATGTTCAATTTAATTACATTATTTTTACATAAAATATAGCCTAATAACTGTAGAATTTTCAAAATTTAACATAAGTGCATTATCCGAGAGAACATAAATTAACTATATAAGAACTGCATAACTAAATATATATTTAGTAAAGGAATAAATTTAATCCTTTTTTCACATTTTTGTTAATTTTTGCTGTTGAACTTATCACAAAAAAGGGTTAATTTCATTTAAAAAATATACGATCGCTTTGTGTAAACGAAATTTGCATAGAATATTTTCACTTGGTTAAGGTGATACACGTTTTTCCCCAAATGCGCTTACATTGCTTCTTTATTAAAAGATCCAGAAAAACATTGATTTTTTTTCCTTTATTAGATAAAAGTACCAGAATACATTTCATCGCAATATAAATAAATTACATTCTGGATATATACATTTTTATCCAAAATAAGATAAAATAAAATAATAGTTTAAATTTTTGGATTTAAAGCAAAATTGCCTCTTTTAGTAATAAAACAAATACTGGAAAGAAAAATGTAACATTACCGATCCCCATATATATAGCAGTCCCTGACAGTTTTCTCGGGCGGTACGGTTACGATTGCCACCATTCGATGGAAGTTTTGTTCCACGTAAAATGTCCACTGATATTTTGACTCTAAGGAAGATTCTCCATTCGATTTAGATGAATAAGCTATCGCGAGTAATACTAAAAAAAGTACAAAGAATCTTTCCCGCATATTTTGTTTTAATACAATCGGCAAATTGGACTTCTTGAATAAATTCCACAGCTTTTTATACTTGCGATTTCTAACTGCCACATCAGTTTCTATGAAGAAAATTGATTACTCGTCTGCGGGTGTTTTCGACCCGCATTTTAAGCACAGTTTACTTCCAGAGAATAGCAACACTATCTTTATTTATAGTTTGCTTAGAGCTTTAGGTATTTGTCATGTTTTGGGGTCACAGGGATTGAATAAAGATATTGCTTTTCATTTCTGGGTTTCTTCTTTTCTAAAAAATGATTAGAATTTTGCCTTCGGTAACTCTCATTTTCTGTTCGTGATGATCACACAAATATTTGAATTATTAACAGATATATGATTAAGCATTATTCTGAATTTTTTATAAAATTCAACAAAACAAAACTGAAGAAAAAAAAGAGCTTTTAAAACAATGGTCGTGAGCTTATTATTATTTCATCTAACAATACCTTAAACTGTTCTTTATTCTTTCGTTTTTATTCCTTTTATACCCAAAATACGTATTTTAATATATATAGCATAAATGGTAATTCCATTTTTAAATAATAAAATTCGTTATGGAAAACCATGAAAACCATGTTTGAACATCGGTTTATCGTACTCCTACGATTAATTAGTTCTATTCCAACTGTGGCCTCAGTTAACTGACAGAAACCTCAGTTCCTGACAAGATTCTCCAAACAGAAGAATTGCAAATATTGATTTGAATATTTTTAACAATATATGAAGAAAAATGTGTGTGATTATGGCAAAGCTTCGAGGGCTATCTGCCTAAGGGGAGGGATGCCTTCGTGGAGGACTTTCTAAGGGAAACTGACTCATATCACGTTACACATGGGGAAAACCGCGAAAACGCCCATGCAGCCAGCCCGTTCGCGGGATTCGAATTCCGGCGGAATTATTCATCTCAATCGGACCGAACTACCAGTGTTCAGCGACTTTACCGCTCAGCAGCTGTTGGGCCCATAAAGAAAAAGAGTTTGTTGCTTTATATTGTTTTTATATTACATGCATGTTATAAGACTGTAATTTCAAACAGAAGAATCTTAAATAGATACTGGTTATTATTTGACATTATTTTTTTTATTTAAAATTAGCAGCTACTTAATTGCAAAGAAATTGAAAATATTGTTAGAACTATAATATTACGAGGGTTTAAAGACTAAACATAGCAGCTACTCAAAGAGCGTACAGAGAAGGATTCCCGAATTATGCCTTTAGTTAACATGCATGCAATAATTATGGAATTATCAACAATAGAAAAGTTTTTTAAGTGCGGCTAAGCCTGCTACATTTTAATTACCATGGCGGCCATGTTTTTTTACATTTGAAACTTAGTAGAATAGTGGATTTGTTGCCAACTACAGAAACTAAGTTTTCCAACAACAAAGATAACGCCTTCATTTATTATTGCGAATTAAATCATGCCTAATCCATTATGGAATTTATTCGAGGAAATAAGTGTTTAAGATTTACTTCGTAATTTTTAATATAGATGTTTTGAGTTTCTATTTATTTTTGCCTTGTCGCGAAGTGAGAACTGATTTAATTGAATGAAAAATACCGAATCGTCTGTGAAAAACTGTTCCTTTTTTGTTTGTTTGTTTAATTTTATTTATAGATCGTTTTAGATTTATTATAGTATTTGAAAGAACATGTGGCAACGATTAGACAATTCTTCAGATGATATAAATTTTGTGCACTCTGAGAAATGAATGAAATGTAACGTTGTTCAGTGAACTTAGCGCCAGAGTGTCACTATGATAAACAAATATAGCGTGCGTTTAAAGCGTGCAATTATTCTATTGGGGTTTATGCGTTATCGAAGAAATAAATTTAATTCAATCTAATATGTTTAAATGAAATGCAAAAAAAATGCGTATAATTTAATATTCCGTACAAGGAAATAATGTGGTGCACACATCAGATTTTTTATTTAAAAAATGTATCTTGTGGTTTATAGCCCTTGGTAGACAAGCATTTTTTATAGTCGTTGTGAATGACAGATAATCAGAGTTTTAAAGTAGATTTCTCTTACTCAATATGGGGGAGAGAGAGAGCACATTTCTAAAAAAGGAAATTTTTCTTAAGCAATATGTCCATGATTTCCTCGGGCATGGGCTACACTTTGAATTCATCAGATAAGCTAAATTAAAAGTACCTAAATCAAACCGAAATCGATCAGTTTTGCAAGTGGAAATGAAAACTGATTTAGTGGAAATAAAAACAAAACGTTTGAAACAAGTAAAAAAAAAAAAAAAGGAAAATGTCTCTTTTTATCTGAACTGAGTTACTCTACACAATATGCTTTTATGTAAAAACTATTTTTGTCTATTTGCTGTGATTATTTTATGTATTTTATGGAATTCTGAAACAATGTTGAGAAGTTTATGATACATATTAAAATCAATACCTAATGAGAAGTCCTTTTTAAGGTTTCTTTTGGCTTCATTTCACCTTGCTTTGTGCCATGGCTCATTTGATAATCTCGGCGAGACGAATGATGGTAATAAATTATTAGTAACTTTTCTATTCACAGTTCAGTTTTGTGCATAGGGCAAAAAGTTTCCTCGAAATTCTAGAATGTTTCGTTATCAGTCGCAAAAATTTGTCATGCATTATTATTAGACGTTTTTCTTTTTCTCTGTCAGTCGGAATACACCAAAATTTATTGTGGAGATTACGTATGTTTTTTTCAGTTACGCGGATATTTCTTAATGACGAGCAATAAGAAAGGTCTATGACGTATATGGAAGCAAATAAGATGTAAAACATGTCTGGTTATTTTTATATAAATACCTCGAAAGTGATTTCCATGCTCCTTTTACATTATTGGAACTAGTTTGTAGAGCTCACTACAAACGCTAAATTATATAATTAAATTTTTCACTAAAGTAAAATTTCTCAAATTTAAGGGTCAACAATCAAGCCTTTTATAAAGAAAATAAAGAAGATTAGATAAGAATAGAATTCTTTTCCTGATCAAGAATTTGAGAAAGTTCCAGTTCAAAATAAACCATCGATTTGACCATAATTCATCTGCAATTACATTAGAGCAAAGTCTCCCAACGAAAGTTCTTCTAAGAAGTACCTCATAAGAAGCATCAACTAACAAGAACAGTTTGTTGTTTACGAGACATTTGAGATAGAGAAGAATTTCTAAGGAATATTTCGTTATTGAAAATGAGTTACAGTGATGGCCCAGATAGAGGTCATGCTTGGGTCATTGCAATCGCTGCCGGTGTTATTACCATGATCCTTTCCGGAATTTCTAAGATGGTCGGCATACTCTATGTAGCTGTTATTGATACGTATGGTGTCACAAGATTCGAAGCAACATTACCATTCACCTTCAGAAAATCTCTTCGGTGTTTAGCAGGTAAGTTTCCTCTTTTATATTGTTCCTGTTTACAGGTTCCTTTGGAATATACACTTACACCATTTCACTGGCATCGTGTTGTTCACGTGCAACATCATACCTTTAGTTATAATACTCTCGTTGGAGCATTATTTATTATTCTTCGATCTTAATATATGAAAGGATTTGGTTTGAAGTACCTGTCAAAATAGACAAAAAAATCTCTTAATTTTGTTTTTAAATTATAAAATACAAATGCTAAAATTTATTATGAAATAAATTTCTTTCTAATGAAATGGAAGCATTCCATTCCTTTACATAAAAAACGGTAAATAATTTAAATAGAAGAAAGTCAAATAAAATTGTTTATCATTATTAAATGTAGTTAATAAAGAAAACAAAGCTGCTTGTGTCTTAATCGTTGCAATATATGAAAGTATAAATTCATGTAAAACAACCCCAAGTGTTAACTTAGTTTTACATGATTATTGTTGTATCTTGAAATTTCTAAGTACTTTGACCATCGTAGTTCTAAATTTGTAAGTTGTATTATAAAAAGATAACTTTTCTATGAATTTTTATAGGATAACTATAAGTGTCTTCCAACAAAGATCTACTTCAGGACAATCTTCTATTATCTACAAAAGACAAAATTAATCTAAAAAATTATCGTATTAATTTATAATATAATGAAATAAGTTTTAATATGTAACGGATTAAGATTTAATATATAATGGAATTACAAGAATAATATAGTTTGCCTGGAAAATGATAGCAAAAATTTGGTTTACATGTGTTGTACTTTAATAGGATAATATTTATTAACAATATAATACTAATAATAGTAAAATTGCAGCTTGTGTCATAGTTGCACAAAATTTATCAGACTTTCGTTGGCAAAATTCCTGCAGTTTCTATAAAAGGTCGCTTAAGTTTCCATGAGTGTTAACAGACTGAAAGAATATTTAACTGTTCTAAATGTACAAAAATTAAATGCTGCCTTGCGATAAATAAAATATCTAAGAGAACTGTTTTACAGTTGCATTATTCTTAATATTTATTGCAAAGTAACGTATAGATAATATCATTGATTTTCAACTGTTCTTTCAGGAAAATTTGCTAAAAGGAATGATTGCTAATTAAAATTGTTTCTGACACTTTACATGCTTGCTAGAATTTTTAAATAGGAAACAGTGAGAAAACTCTTAAGACTATCTAATTCAAAAATACTCGGCTGTTAAATAATAAAAGTCAAATACTAAAATTGCATTACTGTTTTACATTTGAATTGATTCCAGAAGGTAAATAAGCTAAGGTCAACAATAAACAGAGTAAAGGTATTATATATTTTTCATGTATAAAGGAGTGTGACTGATATTAGATTAAATATTTACTGCGCATACAGTAGGAATGATAATTTTTATGCAGAGTTTCGATGAGAACGAAAATGTATTTGCTTCCTCCAGAACAATAAAAATAGAGGAATGCTAAAATTGAGCGTATACCGATATAAAGTTTTAAGTATTTCTTCTTTTCTTTTTTATGCAATGAAATTTATATATAACTTCCAATTCAGGACCAGTTGTAGGAGTAATTGGACAACGTTATGGAATCCGGACAGTTACTATTGCGGGTGGAATCGTGGCTGCCATCGGAGCTGGTCTTTGCTTCGTAGCCCCCACCGTTACATGGCTTGCAGTTTGCTGGGGTGGAATTCATGGTAAGTGTTCTTTTTACATATAATCAGCTATTTCAGCTATCTGTTAACTCATATATCTTACTTATATCTACTTTAGTTAAATTTAAATAAAGTTAGGATGAGTATTCTTTCCATATAACCATAAATACAACTGACCCTTGAATTTCGTGGCGTTAGAGGCCTGATATCTTGCACAACTGGAAATCAGTAAGGTTTGACATCTTCAGAACGTTATCATCCACATCGTTCTGTTTAACAGAATTCTGATAACACGAATAGGACTTTATCGCATGTTTTGTACCCTGTACCAAAGTTAGTCTGCTACAAGGTATGCTCATCCCGACCGTAAATCTCTGAGTGTGTGACGTCAATGACTCATAGTCTGCTCCACAGAAACTATTCCCTCAGAGAACTAATTGTAATTGAAACTTCGTTTCTCCTACTTCTGAGAGTCACGTGACATCACTGAACTTGAGCACTGGGAAAAACATAATCTCTTATTTATCTATTGACCTTGCCTTTTTATATATCAGGTACTTATTGAATTCATACACTGCAATGATATAGGAAAAAAGTTAAGAGTTTAAATCATAAGGAACACAAAATAAATCCTCTTAATTCATCTAAAGTTTAGATTATGGACTTTTTAAAATTAACAATCTGCTAATTCGTACATCGCATCAGCATTGTCTCTTAGCATATGAAATATTGCTCCTGTGAAAAGCGTTACTTGTTCTAAAATTCATGAATGAAAAGATAATTTAGAATAACAGGCCCAAAGATTCCTGCTTTTATATTAAAATGACAGCAATGTTAGTGCTTTGTAGTAGCAAGATTAAGACAATTGACGAGACTTTTTCACAATGGATTTATGGGATTAATATTCATTAATGGATCATATTGTGTTAATAGGGTTTTCCAATACTTTATTAGGCATTATAAAAATATCCAAGAAATGAGAAACGTAATTTTATTGCAATGTTGATTTAAGAAGCGTCATACGACATTTTGAGAAGCAATTAAAAAACCTCAATTTACGATAAAAAGGGTAATTTTAAAGTTATCACCATATTATAGACATACAGTAATTAGTTTTATGCAAATATAATTTACCGTCACTTTTGCTTACATTTTTTTAATTCTCCGTCGAACTAATTGAAGTCTGCAATTACACACGTGTTCACATATTGTCCAATTAAAACTTTTTATGACAGATTTGTATTTATTTTGCAGTACCTAATGACAAAATAGACTTGCACCAATATATATTTTATAAATACATTATACACATGCCTAGCCTTTAAAAGCTTTTTTACACTTCTAAATTGCGCAGTTTATTCACTATTTTTTTCAAGTTGCTGTAAATCATGAAAATTATTTTTTTAATACATTTCATGGAAAATACCACATATAAGAGCATCTGCGCAGTTCAAATACGCATACTTCAAGAAGTAACTCTGCGGTGTAAAAATACTTTCTTAACACGAGTTCGAAAAATATGTCCTGGTCCAATGTTATTTTAAATATCGTGAAAGCGAAGTGGGTTTGCTGAGTGTTGTTTAAATTACGAATAATCCATTAGCAAAGAAAGAACTGCAAATAGTTATTTCCTTTCCTTATTTCCTTATTGCAAATGACTTGTCCTTTCATTTAAAATCAAAATGTATTACGACAAAAGTCATTGACCAATTAAGAAAACTCCTGATAAATAGAGTGAACACTCTTAAGGACTTCCTCTCTAAAATGACCATTTGTGAGAGCAAGCAGTGTTTCTTACAACAGAAACATTGCACTTGATGCCACTTCTATAAGATGACTGCTTCAAAGTAGAGCAAAACATGTGCATCTGGTAGGTGGTTGTCTTAGTTAGGGTTTACTGCATTTTGCGTTGTCTTCCAAATTTATTATTTAATACAGAAATTATTTTTTTTTAATTTTAAGAATTATAAAATCTTCAATATTGTAAACATTTTTGTACTAAATTATATTTTTTACTCTAAAAATTATTCATTCTAAGGATTAAATTTTAATTCATTTGAAATTATTTTCCTAAATTTGTTAAATATGGCAAGCATACATTCCATGAAATCTGAATTTTGGATTTTATTTAATGTTTTATTATTCACTTCTAATTTGTATAATTCATAAAGAGGTATAATGATGGTATGAAGTGAAACTGGTTGAAATGTTCGTTAAATGTTCTCGCTATACGATTGATATTCGATATCACTCGTAATAAAAAAATCAGGAATGTATTTACAGTTGTTCATAGCTCTTACAATAAATGTTATATTACTAACATAATATATGGCAAAGCATGTATTAAAGATTAAATCCATGTAAACGAATAGTGTAATTAAATACAATAGTTATTATAAATGTTTACTATATTAAAAAATGCATGATATGTGGTGGATATTTGACCGACCACTTCCTATTCACTTGAATTCCTATTTAAATTTCGAGGCCAAAAACAAGTCATTTGAAACATATACCGGAAATTTCAGATGCTAATTCATTATTAAATAACGTTTGTTTCATAATTTGTATAGATTTCGAATATCATTGTTTGTAACTTTAATATCATCTCGGTTCTTTATATTATATGAAAAAAAATCTGACGTGGACATCGTATAACTTCCTTGTATTACCTATAAAATTATACAGTTTTCCTGTATTTCATTTAAACTTGTTTCCTCAAATCACATTAGACATATATTTCTCATTCAAATAATTCAGTTCTCACTTAACGGCAAAGCAAAAATGCATAAAAACTCAAAACATCTCCATTAAAAATTGTAAAATACAGGAAAACATAAAACACCAAATATAATTAATACAGTTAAAAAACATTTTTATAATTGGAGTTTTTTAAGCAAAAACAATTGATTCGACCAGGAGATAAGATGGCAGATTTTTCGGAGCACAAAACTAAAAGTTCACTTTTGGTCCCACTCGGCAAAAAGACACTGAAGGTCTAGAAACTGACTGAATTCACTGTTCTACTCATGTTTCAAATGTAAACACATGGCGGCTCTTTAGGCTTAACTCCCCACTTAAACTTTTAAATTGTTGATAATTCTACAATTACTGCATGCAGATTAACTAAAGTCATAAAACCCTTAAGCAGAGCATAAAAACCACTTAATTCATTCACTTTTAAAGTAAAAAATGTACAATTAATAAGCATATAAGAATAGAAAAACTAATATCACCGAGGCCAGGTAACAGAATAGAAATAAATGCATATATATTTGTAAAAGGCTGCAACGAAAAAGAGAGGTGCACAGCTACATGTTACAGCAGTCCCATATACAAAATTTCAACGTTCTACGGCTAGTCTTTCTTGAGTTATGTGAGATACATAGATACGTACGTACATAATGACGTCAAGAAAAAAATCTCTTTTTAATCCATTTTGCAACCCTTTTCCTCAAAAACTGTCCATACGTACAGATGTCACGCAAAAACATCTTTCAAATGGTTTCGAGAATGGTTGAAATGGATGTTTTCTTTGAAATATGATACACGAAATTTTTCGAGATTACAGCAGCACTTCCTTTACGTCGCATAAGGAAGTACAAAGTAGGTTTATAACATTTATTCCACAAATACGGAACTTAATAATTCCACTTATCAGTTTTTCTCTTTTTAAAAGTATTTTTCATGTTGATAATCATTTTTTATTAAGTCCGCTATTTTAAGTGCAGTATTTTTTAACAAATGAATTAAACAATAATTAACAATTTCGGAAAAGAAGATAAGAAAAATATATCACAGTGCTATGCTATGAAATGAACTTTTTTCCTCTTAATTTAAATCAAAATTCAATATTATAATTAATTTTTAAGTTAATAAAATAAATATTTGTTTTAATGATGCAATTTAAATTTTCATAACTTGATGGCCTATATATTTCCGTACTTCCTTATTATAGTGCTCTCTAAAATTGAATATTCTAAAATTGAATCTCTAAAAATGAATAACTAATCAACGGAGATATCTCGCCGAAATCATCCCACGTGTTCTTATGTAACGCTACATGTTACATTTCAGTTGATTTGCGATTAAATTTTGGGGACTGATGTAATAAGAAAGTACCAATATTTTTATAAAAGCAGCTCATGTACACTGCTCAAAAAAAAAAAATGGGACAGTGCTATATCTCCCGTTCTACTGGGCCGATCGACAAAACTCAAACTGCGTTTTTCATGTCTCGAAAGCGCGACTTAGGATATATATTAGATTTATATATAGCACTATTCTAACATAGGTATTTTGACACAAAATCGGACTTTTTCTGAAATAACATACCAATTGTTTTCCATATTTCGATTCTACGACTCATTATGCCAGAATACCAAGTTTTGTAAAAATCGTACGACTAGTTTTTAAAATATTAGCTCTCAAAATTTTAGCTCCTCAATGTTAATTGAATTTGGCAAATATTTATTAATATCTCTTTTTTATTAAACTTTTTTTCATTTTTTTCTCTCACATTTCGAAATTTAGGTTCATTCCAAATGAAATTTAACCCATTTTTGTGTTTTATTTTTAAATTTCTATTTTTAAATAATTTTTATAAATTTTTCGAAAAAAAATTGAATTATAACCTATAAAATTTTTACCATCATCATAAAGTAGGTGTATTTTTAAGCATATCTGCAAAAAATTAGACTTTTTTATTCAAAATTTTCTAAGATATACACGAATTTACATATTTTCGCGTTTTGAAATTTGGCATCTTTTTTTTTTGAGCGATAATAACGCCAAATGTGGTCTATGGATTTTTGTTACACTGAATTGCCACAGCTATTTTTAACCTTAAATTTCAAGTAAAATTTTACGGAGAATTAATTATATGAATTTTTTCCCCTCAATAAGGCGTAATAAATATTTATTAATACTATATGAAAAGCTATTTTTTAAAAATTATAGATGATATTATTAAAATTTTTAACAATTTTTTTAAAAATTTCTCTCTTTCTTCCTTTTTCCTTTTTTAAAAAAATAAGAGTACA